GTTGCAAACTTTGGCAAGCAAAGCGGAAAGTGTGAGACGGTCACAGATGTTTATACAAAGCATTCACATTTCTCCTCACGAAAAAAAAAATCCTGCCTCAGCTGCTGTAGTCTAGCTTTCGTGCGCGCTGCTCTCAAGTTTTTGGAGGGTGCTGATGGGGCTTTAAATTCATGATTCCTGGAGTGACATGCGACTGAGCATCAGCTGGGACACTCATGCCTGCCATCATTGTCAGTCGTTCTGGATTACTCTTGGGGTATCTTGGGGCCTGGCCTTTGGGTAGGGCCTCTGTCTGGAAGGTCCCGGAGCCGCCACAGAAGCGCCAGAAGGGCGCCGATCGGCAAGACCTGGCTCCAGATCACTATCTGAGCCTAGGTCCGAGCTTGTGTGGGTAGGGGAGTGTTGTGAGCTGAGGGAGTGTATAGGTTCCGGTTGCTGCATCAAGCTTCCTGCAAAGTTTGCAATGGAAACTTGGGACGGTTGGCATACCGAGTAAGTCTGGGATTCGTTGACAAGACATGTAGGACTGTAGTTGTGGTTGAGCATGAGAAATATTGCGTGTCCAAACGTGCGTTGTCTCTGCCCAAGGAACCAGCAGCTGCGATATGAGGAGGGGAGGCTCTTGGATGCCGACTCCAAGGCTGTCATGATGGGGTGGGAGGCACCTTTGATGAAGCATCATGCAGAGCTTCTCTTGCCGGAGCAACAGCTGCGCATTTGCAACGTTGGTTTTGGCTTGGGTCTTGTGGATGGCTACCTGGCAGAGCGCGAGCCAAGCGAGCACCACATTATCGAGGCACACAGAGATGTGCTTGCAGAGATGCGGCGCCGCGGTTGGCACAAGCGGAAAGGGGTCGTGGTACATGAAGGCCGCTGGCAAGACATCGTTACGCAGCTCCCTGGTGGCTCCCTGGATGCCATCTTTTTTGATACCTGGTCGGAGACTTATGAAGACCTTCGCCAGTTTCAGGATGAAGTGACGCGATTGCTGGCTCCAGGAGGGCGGTTTTCCTTTTTCAATGGAATGGCTCCATACAGCATCACAGAGCATGCGACCTTCTGTCGGCTTGCTCAGGAGGATCTTGTGGCCATGGGCCTTCCATGCGATATATGCAAAATTGAGTTGGGAGAGCTGGGAAATGAGACCTGGCAGGGGGTGAAAGAGCGCTACTGGCAGTTTGACAGCTACTACCTGCCCTTGGCAAGGAAGCCTCCACAGTCGAGCCAAGCAAAAGACTCTGATTGCCTGGAAGGTGTCAAAGGTTCCCAGTGGCGTTGCTGGCCAGAGTTTCCTGTTCGGGTGTTGGACAGACTGGGTCCAACTCTACCACGAGCGGCATTTGGACTGGATTGAATCTTGCGTGTTTGGCAACTGGCGGCTATCACGAAGGATGAAGAGCTCTTGGGGGGCGGAAAATGTGCATAATTTGGAGACGAGGGGACGTAACTTGCCAACAAGATTCGTGAATATTTGATCATTTATAGATGAAATTCGGATATGATCCGATCAAATATCATTCCCCGATAATTCATTCATTTCTCGAACATATATATTTCCTAAATTTATTCTAGAACACTTTCTATATTTTCTCTCCGCGTATTTTATTGCAGATAGAATCCGGGAAAATCAGCGGATTCGAACCTAATCAGTAATATATTAGAAGGAAATATTGATATTTTATATATATTCGAAATTGATTTTCTAAATATTCGAAATATCGTAGAAAAAATGATTTTCAAGAGAAATTATTAATAAAGAAATTATTAATAACTGAGATATTATGATTAGAGAAATTCTTATTCTCGGAATACGATTGATATTACTATTTATTCTATTTATTGCTCTCATCTATATTTTTGATTATAATATTTATATGAAGATATGAGATATATTTATGAATATTTCTGCCAAATATTAGTTGGATAATGGATAATAAGATTATTTATTCGTCGATTTGACCTAATCATGATTCGAATCTGGAAATTTTCGGAATATTCTTATTGACTGACTATAAGATGAATTATCGTTACGTTTTCTTGAGATATCTATCTAATGATATCTTATTCTGATAGATCTAGTGAATTGATATTCTAGATCATTCTTTTCTTATCAATCGAAAGATAATAAATTTTTTATTCGTCCATTTTTTCTTATTATCTATGATATATAAAGAAGATATTATAGAAAAAGAAATTATTGAATTATTCTTCTATATTCAGATTTATCAAAAGAATACGGATATATATTGAATTTTTGAGAAATGATTGAATTTTCATAATTAGATTGAAGAAAATGATTTGATATGAGAAAATATTCAAATCTTGAAATATATATTTTCATTATGAGAAAAGAAATAAAAGATATTACGATAAGAATTTCTAAATATCATATAATGATACGAGAATATTCTTCTGCAAGATAGAATATTTTCATTCATTTTTATATTTGCTATTTTTTTTATAAGAAATCAGATTTATAGGAAATAGACGAGAAATATCTAGAGGTCTATAGATCTAGGTTAAAGAGATATTTGATAGATATTTTTATCTGGAGATATTGAAGAGAATTTATCGAAGAATCATTATCATATTCATCTTTCGATTTATATTAGATTTATTCAATATCAACATATTGATAATTCTTTATTCAAGATTTCAATAATAATATTTGAAATCAACATCCTTATGAAGAATACCCTCGCAAGGAATATTATTTCTGGATTCTCTTGCTAATAGAAATACCCCTTCCAAATTGATAATGATTTCTTTTTTTAAAATTCATTGCTAAGAATCGATAGAAGATCCGCAAATAGATAATTCCTTCTTGAGAATAACTGATATCTCTCTATATAATTTCTTGAGAAGAATATTTTATCAATAATCATTGGAATAATATCGTCCAGATAAAAATTCTTTGATCTTCCCTTATATAATCTCCCTCTAGAGATTCGCGTCTATAATATTCCTGGCAAGAGATCCCTCCTGCTAAGAATCTTGATAAAATCATTTTGATTAGCCGCTAGCCAATCCGGAAGACCGCGAAACGATTTCTTCTTTCAAATTATCCTGATAATAATATCTTATCAATTGGGGATATGCAGCTCCTAAAAATATTCTTCATAATAATAATTTATGAGGTCTATATATCGATAATCATCAAAAATATCCTGAGAATGAAATTTCATGGCAATGATATTCTGGGAATCCTATGCAGAAGATCCGTATATCGATAATCGATCTAGCTCATTGAATTATTCATCTCTTACCGTTATGCGGGCAATAATAGCTAATTGATTATAATCCTGGGAAGAATATATATCAATCTTCTATCTCTGATTCCGTCTCAAGCTTTCGCTATATAATCTTCTCATGATAATATATTGATCCGGATATTCTAGTCATCTTATAATAATATGACGAAAATAATCTGCCCTATATCTATATATTGATAATTCCCTGCCAGAATCCTTATAATAATCTAGGATTGAGAATCATATATCTATTCATATTCTCCATGATTTATATATATAGATTTATTAGAAATCGATAACTCCCTATCCAATAGAATAATATCCAGATAAAATGATCTGATATCAATATCCTATCAATTATATCCGATATGATTATCTGGATATCACCTCCCAAATTCCGGATATCGACCTGCCGATATGCGCCCCTACAAATACGGAAATATTCCGATATTATTTTCTTGATAATATCTATATAATATCCAATCCATTATATATTCTTCGATAATTCTCCTATTCTTAAATAGAATGCTCTTATGACCCCAATTCTTGGCCTCCAGACCGATAATTCCCTGGGCAATTCCCTTATAATAATATCCTAAAATCAAGATCTTATAATAAAATTTCTCCAATCTTTTGAAATTATATAATCTTTTATCATCGACAGAATCTTTCAAATAAATTCTTATTTAGAATATTCTCAATAATCTACTTTTGGTCCTCGTATCCGATAATTCCTGATATTCTTATAATGCTATCATGGACGGCAATTCTCTCCTCTTTAAAAGAGAGATTTTATAATATTCAATTCAAAGAAATCAAGATCGAATCTTATGATATTATTTTCATTCTAATATTCGAATATTTTTCGTATTCATAGAAATTTATTTATGAAATATCTATATTATTTTTGTGCTCTCGAATCTCATAATATCCATTTTATTCCTAGTCGCATCTTTCTCAAATTATTTTGAAATGTAATTATTGAAGAAATATCAAAAAATCGAAAGAATATCAATTCATCTAAACGATTTTCTTTCTCGAATAAATAATCATCAAATTATTAATATGTAGAGAATTTCTTCGATTAATCTCTATTTAATTGACGATCATTCGTTTGCTACGATAAATTCCGAATTTCAAATATAAATTTCTATAGAATATTTATGATAATTAATATAATTAATGCGAAGAAATTAAAATAATATCCGGAAGATATAAATAAGAAAACGAAAAGCATTAATATTTTATGCAATTGAATTTATTATAATTGGTTTCTTATAAACTCAGAAAATGAAATTAATTTTTCAAATTCCGAATAGCTATGTTGATAATCAAAGAAAGATATATCATGCGGAAGAAATATAAAGAAAATAATTTTTCAAATGAAAAAGAAGAAATATCATTATGCAAGATTTGCAAGATAATTAATGAAATATCTTCATAGATATATTTGAAAGAAAACGAAAGATAATAAGATTCAATATAATTTCCATCTTGAAAAATGAATATTTAAGAAAATCAATTATTTTAGATTTTCTGAGAAGATATTTAGAATTCAAAAGAAATATCAATCCAAAAAATAATCAAATAATAAAAAAATCTAGTTCTATCTTTTTTGAAAATAAATATATATCATATATATCTTTATCTAGATTTCATTTAAGTTGAATTAAAATCAATCTCAATTTAGAATTCGTCTTTTTGAAGATCTCCAATTAATATATTTTATCTTTAATATCAATATATGAATTAATTATATCGAATTCCATTAGAATTTCACTCAAGCTCAAAATATTCGCGATTCCGGACGAGGGTAGAGATAGATATTGGCGAATCCAATGATAGGAGATCAATAATATCGATCGTTCGTCATATCACGAGAGAGTATCCGATATATTGGAATCTTAGATCATGAGATGGATAGATTCATTGCTAAATAAAATATTTTCATATATAATCAAAATGGAGAGATTATGATGGCAACCCGATGGGTCTTCTTTTTCGGACCGCTTGAGGGATATATTGGAAGATCTACTATAAGCGGACAGATAATTAGATTGGCAGAATTAGAGACTGGCAGATTCGACAGAAGATAAACGAAAACAGCGACAATTTGCCAATCAAGTGACGGACTCATAGACCGACAAACCATCAGAACGACAAACCAAAATACGGAGAGATTGACAGACAGGCAACCTGACTGATTGACGTCATTCCGATTCACCGATAGCGTCGGAGTTGGACCGACGGAACTGCGCAGGTCTTTGGCGCTTTTGGTGGTGCCCCCCGACACAATTGTATCGCACCGACATAATTGTATCGCAGCATCGCGGCGCGACAAAACGTTCATCAGAGTCAAAGGTAGACCCGGGTGGGAGGTCCAGGTCGGCCGTGCCTGTCCACGGAGATGTACGAGCTCTAAAATAGTGGGGAGCTTGACCTATGTCAACGACCAAGCCGCAGCACAAACAGCCAGACAGAGGCAAATGAAGCGGAGAGGGGGGGGGTCAACAATCCTCGAGATTTTCGGTCGCCCCGCCCGGACCAAAAAATCTCAGAGATTTTAAAGCCTCTAGCTTGGTCGAAAGGCCCTCAAAACTTGGGAATTGTAGAGCTGCTAGGGGCGCGTTTGTTCTTAGGGGAAGGGCCCCGATCGCAAGCAAAAGATAAGTTCCACTGCATGTTTTCGACCCAAGATTTGGTCTTGTCCAAGCATTCCAAGCCCAGGCGGTCAGAGAGTCGTGCTGTGCTCCCCTGGGCAGGTCCCTAGCGGCTTAGACTTATCCTACAGCATTGGCATGTAAAAAGGACTTGCCAGTCTCTGGAAACTTTGAGAATATCTGGAATGGGCAGCCACATGCAGCGCAGATTGCAGACAAAACAAGGAGCATTTGAAAAGCACGTGCCAAGGATGTGGTGTGCCCCCAGGCCTGCATAGGAACTGATGTTGCGCTGATCTATTAGCGTGTTGGGGAACAGTGGGACGACGAACAACAATCAGAATCTTAACGAAGAGTGGTGATGACACCCCGATGCTAGTCTTTGGCACAGATAGCTGTGCGATCCCCGGTATGCTATTGGGGAAACTGGCGCAGGAAGTGAA